GGGGGGGGGGGGGGGGGGGGTGCAAATCATTTCTGGGGGGTGCACACCCCCCTCCTGGTTTATGCATGTGTCATCGGCTTCCCCAAGGGGGGGACCCCGGGATGTACTGGGGCAATTTAACAAGATAGTGGGGGCTTTGAAGCAAAATTTTGCCCGTGATGTAGGGCAAATGTGGGAGCTTTGATTTGTTGCTGCCCAACATCAAGGGCAAATGAGGGGACTTTACAAATGTTCTGTTTCTGTGTATAGTTGTTATTAAGGCAACCACATGCAAGATGGAGAGCTCTTATCTTGTGGAGCATTATTAACTCTTAAATTTTCTGTTTTAAAAAGAAGAAAAAACGAAAAACAATACAGTAAGAAAGCGAAAAAAAAACAAATTTCAAATATTGAAAGGAATTTTTTTTAACGAGTGGATACACTGGAAGCTTCAAAATCTTTGTGACTTTGTTCTTCTCTCATCGCTATCCACGAAACAAACAATGAGGGAGAAAATTAAGGTAAATACATCTTGCTAATCCTCTTATTTTTTTATCGTTTTGAATCATTTTTAAAGGGTAATGGCAATAAAATTTTTTATTGCTTTATCTGAAAGAGCATGAAAAAATAAGTCGATTGGCCATTTACTGCTCTATTCTATCTCATCTGGTTCCGAAGTTATATGCAAAAATGTGCAAAATATAAATTGCTGATTCAGCACAACGTGTGATGTCATTGGTAGGGTAAGTATGTTTAATGAATAGTAAACTGAAGCATAGCTCAGTTATTATTGGCTCAAATCAAATGACATTTTGTATACAGATAGTACATGATGAGACGCATGGGAAAATACTTCTAATTTTGTTGTCAAGGCAACGCAGTCGTTCCCAGGCCCCTTACACTGATTTTGAATAACTAGTTGCATTTATCTATGTGTATGTCATTTTCGAATTATTATCATGCAAGTAAACTTTTGGCATGTATAGGTATGGTACACATACTTCTGACATTATTTTATTCTTATAAGTACCATGAATAAAGCTGTTTTATAAAATTGGCGCAAGGGGCCTGGGAACGACATTGTTACCTTGGCAACAAAATTAGAAGTGTTTTCCAATGCGTCTCATCATGTACAATCAGTATGGTCCCATAATAACTGAGCTATGCTTCAGTTTAGTATTCATTAAACATACTTACCCTACCAATGACGTCACACGTTGTGCTGAATCAGCAATTTATATTTTGCACATTTTTGCGTATAACTTCGGAATTGGATGAGATAGAATAGAGCAGTAAACGGCCAATCGGCTTATTTTTTCGTGCTCTTTCAGATAAAGCAATAAAATTTTTTATTGCCATTACCCTTTAAATATTTAATATTCATATAAACTGCTGTTTTCAAATGTTTTATAATATGAATATATTTGTATTTCATTTTCAATGCATTTCAAATTATCTATTCATCCTTAAACCATGTTACATTCCAGAATGTCCACACCCTGAATGCCTAAAGGGAAAACCTTCCGTGGAGCCCACATGGTATTCAGGTGGTCCACCTTTGTCATTTCTCCCTCTACCTATTCCGGACCCTGAAAGAACATGGGGTACCTCATGCAAAAAATGTAGGGACATTTGCACTGGGCATTACTTAAAACCTGAACAGCATATTGAATGGATAAAAGAAAATGGAGACGATGCTTCTCAGAAAATAACACCAAAAGCTCAAATTGAGAAGTTTGTTGAAGGGAAAAAGGACGTTTTACCAGAAGATATAGATAATTTAGCGAAGACTCATTTGTTGTCCCGAGAAGATACTGAAATATATGTTCAGCATTTTGTGTCAAAGTTTGCTAGAAGAGAAATAAAAAAAAGAAAAGCTATGAGAAAGATTCTCATTCTGACGAAGCTGATGTTTACTGCATTAGCAGGAAGGGAGAAGATGGTCTTATGATACAATGTGACGCTTGCAATGAATGGTTTCATGGTCAATGTGTGAGTGTCACCCAAGAAGATGCTGACAAGGTGGAACAATACATTTGTGGTCTGTGTTTAGAAGACACTGATGAACTATAGAAAACCTGTATTTTATATTGATCATATTTTGTTGTTAAAATTCCAGATTAAAATCACAAAACTTTTAAAGATGGAACAGTACATTTGTGGTCTGTGTTTTAAAATGCACAGATGAATTATAGGAGATTGTAATGTATATTGTTCATTTTTTTGTTTGTTAAATTTGTCCAATAAAATGAATAAAGGACACTTACATACTTAAACTTGTAGAGTTGCCCTTAGGGGTGGGGCCTTTGCAAAACTATTTTGTCCCATGGGTGGGGAAATGTTTAGAGATTGCAAAATCAATTTATGTAAGTCCCCACATTTCCCCAGGATCCCCCCCCCCCCCCCCCCC